TTAGTCGCATTTTTCAACAGAAGGCTTTCTTGGGGGATGAATAAAATTCATGCAAAGAATGACCAATATAAGGCCATGTTTTGGCATAGATCCTACATAACACATTAGGTAGTTTGACGAAGAAATTAAGTTATGGAGTATGCTAATATTAAAAAATTGGTGGACATAAAAACAGAATAACATGATTTAAATATCCAGTATAATATATGGATTAATACTTTAAATTGTTAATTGATAAAAAAAAACACATCAAATGTCCTGACCTGAGCTGTGGGAAATATTTAAAAACCAATATCGACCATAAAAAAAATTTTAGAACAATTTATTCCATATGTTCACTTATAGTACGTTTTTCTAAAACTACCTCCATATTTTAATACTACATACGATTTCTAACCGCTGCAGAAATCTAGTTCTATTCTAAATTTGGTATCATTTATTACCTTTCGTACTTTTGTAAAATAGGTTCACCCACATCCTCATTTAGTACCAATTAGTACATATTAATTTAAATTTCCATAAGTACATACACCAGACATATCGGTTTACCCTAAATCCAAATTGTATAAAATTTAGTACTTTTCGTACACGTACGTACAAATTTCCAAATCTACCTACATATGCCAATCCAATACCCCAACAGGAATCCTAACTCCAAATTTCAGGATTCTAGCACTATCGGTTGTCCCGAAATGCAAATGCTACCAAATTTAGTACCATTTAGTACACATAAGTACGAATTCACAAAACTACCTACATACCGCAATTGTATACTCCAGTAATCTCAGTTTCAAATTTCTACTATTTCAGCTCTAAATCCAAATTGTATCAAATCAAGTACCATTGAGTACCCATAAGTAAAAAAATTCCAAAACTACATCCATACCTCCAATCATACACTCTAACAATAAACTTATTTTCAAATTTCAGTGCTCCAGCTATATCGGTTCACCTAAATCCATATTGTACCAAAACTTCTTACGCAGTCCAATCCTACAATCCAAAACTGTGATTTTAACTCCAAATTTCAGGATTCTATCTCAATTGGTTCACCCAAAATTCAAATTATACCAAATTTAGTACACATAAGTACGAATTTCCCAAATTACCAATATACCTCAATTCTACAATGCAGTAGCAATCTTATTTCCACATTTCAGTGTTCCAGCTCTATCGGTTCCCTCAAAATGCAAATTGTACCAAATAGAGTACAATTAGGTACTTTTCGTACACATATCTACAAATTTTTAAAACTATTAAATTTTAATTAATTTTAAATTTCAGGATTCCTTCAAATTCGAATTGTACCAAATTTATAACCATATCGAACTTTTCGTACACATGAGTACACGCTTTCAAAGTTATCTCCTTCTCAACCTTTATTCGCATTCCAAATTTCAAGTTTTTAGCTCTATCCATTCACATGCTACGAAATTGTACCAAATTTAGTACATTTTAGTACTTATCGGATACTTATAGTTCGAATGTCCAAAAAACCCCTTTGCTATATCTATTCTGCATTTCATCAGTGACTCTCATTTCAAATTCAAGAGTTCTAGCTCTACCGGTTCGCCAAATACAAATGGTACCACATTTAGTACTTTTCATACCGTTCTAGTACGAATTTCCAAAAACCCAGCCTATCTGTCACCTTTGGATCAAGAGTGACCCACAACTAACAATTCTAGATTCTACGCCCTTTTATCTGGGCCTTGATGAATCGTTCAGTCAGCCAATCACTTTTATTAGTATAGATTAAAATGTATCTCAATATTTTAAATGTCAATCAATTTATTCGTCGTAAGTTAATGGCTACGATTTCAAATACAAATTTTATTTAAAAACCAGTGAGCGGAGCAACATTGTTGGAAGGAGCCGACAACTGCCACTGAGTGCTCAGTTTCGGCGAATCTATATTTTGAGCCTGGGTAATATTTCGCGATATTTACACCAATTAGATCATTTACACCAGCATCATTTGACCTTTCCTTGTGTCAGATCACGGTGTCAGAGCGTTTAAATTTTCTTCCACACTTCGATCGGTTGAAGGAGAAGCTGACAACGATCGTTGGGACCATCAGGCGTGTCTTGCGGACTGATTGGGGCTTGAGTAGACGATCTGTGCGTATCATATATATATATATATATATATATATATGGTGCACCTATATGGTACAGAACTGCCTCTTCTGTCTTCGGGCAGAGGAAGCTCCTTTCGTGTCAGCGGGTCGTCATGTTAGCGTGCTTGCCAGTGTAACGCAACGTTCGTAGTGGACCGGCCAGACTTTCGCTTCGGCTTATGTACTGGTTTCTTACTGGCGGGGCATGGCTCTCTCAATGCTTTTCTGCATAAAAGAGGCCCGTCCCAGACGGATTTATGTGGGTGCGGGATAACCGAGGACTGGAAGCATATACTGACGGAATGCTGTTACTATGATGACATTAGAGATTTAGCAAGTATGGGTATATCGAATGAAGGGGCGGGTGGGATTTCAGTAGGGCACTTGAAGACGATCGGACCTTTAGTTGTTTAAGTAGTTTTGCTCGTGAAGCATTTAGGAGAAGGACAGTACTCGGTGGAGGTGGTCCTCGTACGTAGCCCCCTTGCAGTTGGGTTTGGTCGGTTGCACCGGGTGGTGGTGGGTAGGTGCACCGAGTGGCGGTGCGTGCTGGTCTTGGTGCGGTTATCGGCGGTTGTAGGTGGTGTACGTACCAGCCTGGACGTGCGTCGAACTGGGACAGGCTCCGGTCTCGAGCTTGAGCGGAGGTTTTCCGTACCGCGGGTGTCAGGTGCCCCTGGATCTGTTGATCCAGCCTGACAGTTGGTGTGGCCCCCTGGGGAGCTTCGCGGGGGTTGTGGTTTCGCCCCTCACCAAGGGGGAGATTATGCCTTCTGCATGCTCTCCAATTGGTACAGTACTTCGGTGCTGGTGCGCTGGTGGGCTCATATCCGCCTGTGGCTCAGCCACTGCGAGGTAGCTCTATGGGCAGGTACTCGCATAAAACACTTCCAGATACTGTCAGATCACCTTACCCATGGAAAATTTGTGATATTCGAATTACAAATGTGGCATGTAGAGCGACTACTAATCGGGTCTATACCATTAAGGCTCAAATTTTACGCCAGAGTATGCATCGGGTCCATTTGATCAGCTAAATATTGATCAATCTTCACCAAAACGTTCATGCTTATTCTTTGTCCATATTCCCTTTCTCATGGCCTCGGGAGCGACCTGAAACCGACAAAATAAAGTTTTTTGTCTATTTCATCTCTTAAACATTAACCGATTATTACCAAAAACAAAAGGGGTCTACATTAGACCGAACCGGTGTTATGCAAAAATTCGTGACAATAGGTCCATAACTATAGTGTAAATGGGCGGTCTTACATGTCTAAATCGACTCATCTAGTCGAGGTATGACGATCGATGTACTTAAAAGTGCCGTTACAAAATCTTCGCGGCGTTACAAACTCTTGAGGCCACACAATGTTATAATATCCCTACAACATAGTTGTGTAGGGTATAATGACAAAATACAGACATCCAGGAAAAATTTGATCATTTATGATCTATGTCCAAACACAGACCAATGTAGAAACATTTCTGCATACATATGTTTTCAAGTGGAGAATGCGGTTATACCCTTCAAAATACATACCAATCTTCATAATTTTTGACAGGCACATTTTCTACCCCATAAGAAACGAAAATATGAAAATGGACACAATTCGATTGAAAAGTGTGTCCAAAGTCCCTAAAATGCTGAAATTTTGGAGGTATAGCTTTATGGGTGGCACCCCAAAATATGGACCAATATTAACATTTTTTTGTAGGGAGACATCCTACCCAAAGATAGTTCAAAATAGTAAATAATTTTAAAAAAGATTGAAAAACGAACTCGAAACCCCCACAATACGGAATAATAGAGTTACCGCTTTAGGAACAACCGAAAAATGGTCCAATATTAATAATTTTTAGTAATGAGAATTCCTTCACAAGGAGAACCCAAAATATGAAATTCGAGCCGATTGGTTGAAAAATTTGACTTTTTGGGCCTATCCAGGAACAGGGTCCAATATTAAACATTTTTAGTAGGGAGGCTACCCTTTTGTGGTTATGTCGAAACATGTTAATTTTTGGTCTGTTCTCGTACTGCAAGAATCTACTCGATTTTACTATTTTGTTCGATATCATAAAGGAAAAAAGTGTTATCGGAGTAAAAAATAGTAGATTCTTGCAGTACGGGAACAGACCATTTAATATGTAAATTTTCAAGCGAATGATAATCCAAAATCAGTTCCAAAATTCAGACCAAAAAGCCGACATTTTGGAGGCTACTAGCACTAGCAATATCTGTTGAAAATGTGAAAGTTCTGTCTTACAAATTGCTTGCTATATCAATAGACGAACGGACATGACTAAATCGACATAGAATTTTATTCTGATCGAAAACATGTATATATGGCCTGTTCCCGTACAGCAAGAATCTACTAGTTTTTACTATTTTTTCCGATATCATAAAGGAAAAATTGTTATCGTAGTAAATACTAGGAGATTCTTGCAGTACGGGAACAGACCAATAATTTATATATATTTGGGGTTCAGGTGAATATTTCGAGGTGTTGCAAACGGAAGACACTAATTGCAGAGTTTTTTGTTATTCACCTCAAGATATCCCGGTCGAACTTTGATCATATCTATTTTTTGTCGATATGTGCTGGTAGAGTTCATTATTAAGATTGGTAACCAAGGTATATTATTTGGTCTGTTCCCGTACTGCAAGAATCTACTAGATTTTACTATTTTCGATATCATAAAGGAAAATTTGTTATCGTAGTAAAAATAGTAGATTCTTGCAGTACGGGAACATACCAATTATATATTTCTACCCTGATGTCAACTTTTGTTTATATTCATATTCAGTCTGTCAATAATTAGAAGAACCCCCAATTACAAAAACTGAAAAATATATTTTCGTATTGCATAAATAATTTGAAAATGGCTGCACCCAAAGTAACCACATTTTCTAAGCCATCGGGTGATGACAAAACTAAAGGCTCACAAGATGATGAAGTAATATACACTTTTCTCAAAAATTCCTGATATATACAATTATACATCAACATTGTTTCGAATTGCAGAGAAAACTACCGATACAAAAGAAAATGTTCTTGCTGGATAAACGAACTTCCAAGGAAGCTATTCCTTCGACCCGGCTTAGCTATTATGAATATATTGATATGGAGGTGCAACGAGCATTGGACATTCGTGATTATTTGAAAATTGAAGAAACAATCGATGGTGAAGTGTTGGATGTAACACCCAAACCAATTGAGGTGCCATACGATACAGAGGGATATAAAAAATTGAAACAAAAAGTGTCATGCATTCAAAAACGCCGAGGCGATTCGGGTGGATTTAAGGGAACTGCAAGTTCGATACTGAGAGCCAAGTCAAGTCGTGGTGTTGGTTTTCATCTATCAATGGAGGATATTGTCACAGGGGTAAGGTGGAAGAAATGTGGGTGTTAGGGAATAATATTTCCTCAATGCGAGCAGGGAGCCTTTAAAGATGAAGTGATGCTCAGGGAACGCTTAAAAACAAGGTGATGCTCAGGAAGCCCTTACTTGTGAGGTGAAACTCAGGGGATGTGTGTAGACGATATGTAGCTCAGGGAGTCTTTAGGGACGGACTGCAGTTTTTTATGTGCTGAAAATTTTTATTTATGTGCTGAAAGTCAGGCAGTTTTTGTGGACAGGCTGAAACTCAGGGTATCTTTATTGACGAGTTTTTATATGAAAATTTATACGAAATGTGAAGGCAGGGATTCTTTATGGACAAGCGGCATCTCAGGAAGTTTTTATAGGCAGAGATTTTTTGTGGACGGACTAAAGCCCAGGGTGACAGTACAGAGACGCTGAAAAGCAAGGAGTTTTTTTATAGACGGTCTTAAATGAGTTTTATAGATGATGTTTATACGCGAGTTGAAAGCCGAGAGCTTTTATAGACGAGCTGGAATATGTCTTCAAAACGAGCTGTAGGGGGTTTCTATCGACGATCTGAAGGGAGTCTCTATAGGCGAGTCAAAAGGAATCTATATCGACGAGCTGAAGGGAGTCTTTCATACACGAGCTGAAGGGAATCTTTATAGACGAGCTGAAGGCAGTCTCTATAGACGAGCTGAAGGCAGACTCTATAGACGAGCTGAAGGGAGTCTTTATAGACGAGCTGAAGGGAGTCTTTATAGACGAGCTGAAGGGAGTCTTTATAGACGAGCTGAAGGGAGTCTTTATAGACGAGCTGAAGGGAGTCTTTATAGACGTGTTGAAGGGAGTCTTTATAGACGTGTTGAAGGGAGTCTTTATAGACGAGCTGAAAGGAGTCTTTATAGACGAGACGAAGGAATTCTTTATAGACGTGCTGAAGGGAGTCTCTATAGACGAGCTGAAGAGACTCTCTTTAGACGAGCTGAAGGGAGTCTCTATAGACAAGCTGAAAAAGTCTTCATAGACGAGCTGAAGGGAGTCTCATAGACAAGTCGAAGGAGTCTCTAGACACGAGTCGAATGGAGTCTTTATACGCGAGTCGAAAGTAATCCCTATAACTGAAGGGTATTTATAGACGAGCTGAAGAGTGTCTTATAGAAAGCTGAAGGGAGTTGAGATAGAAGGACCAGCTAAAGTCCGGATATCGGTGGTAATGAGCTTAATTCTGGAAGTCTGTAGATACCAGGGTTTTAGGGACTAAATGAAGCTCGTGGAGATTTTATATATGTAACCTAGGAAGTAGTTATTAGAGAAGGGAGGGAGTCTTTCTAAAAGAGCTTAATTTAAAGGCGATTTTAAAGATTCCGCACGATTTTAAATAGTTCACACATTTTCGGAAAAGCTCCGAGGCCCTAGCCTGTGGCTTTTGTTCGAATTATACTTTTCCGTATCGAAATCTGAATCTAAATTATTTCCTTCTCCTTTAGATTGGCAGCGAGCGGATGCTTACGGACTTGCGAACTTCCACCGCCATATCACCATACATCGACATATCCAGTTCATCCTCCTCCTCGTCCATCGAAGATAAAACCGAAAAAGATATAAAAACAAAATTCAATTTACCCTTCATACGAGTGGTTCTCCGTAAGACCGAACTTATTTTACTTTACGAACAACAAAGCATGACAGCCATTAAGAATACCGAAGATGGCAACTATGCAGAAAAAGATAATAAGGAATATGATTATTTGACCATAGGAAAGGGAAAGGTGCGGCGGCGATCCGATGCTGAAACCCAGACTAATGATAGTCTCTTTAAATCGCGTAAAGTGAATACAATTCGCAAAGATACGACAGATACTGGTAGTTATGTTTCATATTTTGAAATGTTTGATACTTATCGGAAACTTGAAGAAGTGGATCCATTTGCTTTGGAGGATCAGGAAGATAAAACCGAAAAAGAAAACATTACAAAATTGTCGCGAGAACAACAATTTGCTGCCATAGTGAAATTACCCTCCTTCCATTGGGCCAGCACGGTTTTGAAACGTCTGTTGGCCGGCAATAATTTCGAAACTGCTCAAAGAAGATTCCGCAATATGGATTCCATTCCACTCACAATTTCGAATATAAATTATAAATATTCCCTGCAGAATTTATTTACCATACAACCGTATGCTCCCGATAATGAACGTAGAGCTGTATCCGATATGAGTTTCTGCTATTCGAATAGTGATATCTTAGCCGTATCCTATGGCATTTATTCTTATCAGGCGGCGAAATTACCTTCCACCGGTGAGGTATGCATTTGGAGCATTAAAAATCCTTGTGATCCGGAACGTTACTATTTCTACAACTACCCCGTGGTGGCATTGGAATTTTCACCCTACATGCCGAATTTATTGGCCATTGGACTTTTCGATGGTTCAATTGAGGTGCGGGATATATCAAAATTTAGTCAGCCTCCTGTGGCAATATCACAACGTAGTTCCTCACCTGGAGTGGATCCAGTATTAGCAATTAAATGGATAAAACAAGGTGGCAATTCCGATGACGATGGTGTTGATGATATCGATCCCTTTCTTTCGCTATCACAAGATGGTTCTGTTACGAGATTTCACATAATACGTGGGCCTTATTTACTGGGTAATAAACAAATGTCTTTAGAGCGCATTGAAGGTAAACCAGAAGGCTTGCCGGTTACGGTGTTAAATGCTGCTACTCAGGAAGCCAATCCACGACCACAATGCTTGAATTTGACAAAACATCCATTACACGCGGATATTTATTATATTTTAACGGATGAGGGTTGTCTGCATAAATGTTCAACAAATTATCAACATCATTATTTGGAAGTATTGAAAACTCATAAGGGCGCTGTTAATTGTATGGATTTTTCCCCATGGTCGCCTAAGTTGTTTCTTACATGCGGCAATGATTGGTGAGTAAAATTTCATTTATGTATTTAATTATCAAAGAAGATATATAAATAAAATAAAACGGGCATAAGTTTATGTTTTGGATTGTTATAAGCAGAGATCGCCTTTATAGACAAGCTGAAGGTAGTATGTATAGATCAGCTAAAGTTCGTATGTCTGTATAGATGTGTTGAAGACCGCTTGCCAATAGAGACGAGCTCTTTTGCAGGCAGGAAATCTTTGCAGACAAGTTGAAGCTCAGGTAGTCTTTATAAACGACCGGAGGGTATTCTAATAGAGAAGTATTTATATATGTACTTAATGCAAGGGGTATTTATAGGTTTGTACACGTTTTAGGAATATCCCCTTTATGTCTAGCCTCCGGTAAATTGTTCGGATTATGTCATGTCTTTCCATTTGGTTTTCCAATGAAGATTCCCATAGAAATATTCAATATGAGTTCAAGTTTTTAGGTAGTTAGAATATTAAAAGCTCTTGTTTGCATATTAAAGGTTCTAGACACGTTACAATCTAACTTGTAGTATTTAAAACTTTCGAGTTTTCTGAAATCACCCTCAGAAGATTAATCGGAAAATAAACAATCAGTGAGTTATGTTTTGAAGTTGACTCCAGATACGGTAAAAGCAGTTGTGACGTAGTATGTGTGCTACAAGGGCTAGTTTTTCCTACCTTGATAATACGTGATGAACTCGAACATCGGTTGCATCGAATTGGGATTATTGGTGAGAAAAGAGTCCATCATTCCACTTTGAAGTACAATCGATAGTCATACGAGTGGGCTGCTCAGTATACACCCGTTCGGAAAAGTTGTAGACTCTGCACTTTGGGAAGTACATGAAGTAAATTGCATAGTCGTCCTTGCAAGAATAAGGTCAACTTTGCATAGCACCTTTCAAGGATTAAATCACTGAGAAAACTGCGCACACAAATAAAAAAGAAACGACGATAAAAAATCTATGAATAGGACTTGGAATTACTTTCTGACCCCATGCGACTATCACATGTACTCGGATTTCACAAGAATCGCTGCTAACAATCGTCTAATGAAAAGAGAGGCCAATAAGTTAAAAGTAATATAAATTGTTTCCACCTTCCTCCATTATATGAGGAGTACTTTACTTAAATTGTTGTTCAGATTGGTAAATTGGGCTACAAACTTTTAAAATACCAACAATTAAGGGGACCCCCCCCCCCCCATTCTCGGTGTCAAAAATGTTGTTGATATAATTCGCATCTACACTAATTAAAGAACGTCCCTATAAAATTTCAAATGAAAATCTCAAGAACTCTTGAAGATATAGCCGATTTATTGCCTCAGCATCAAGTGACGGCTGAAGGGTTTCTCAAACTTTAAACGCGTTTTTCTCTAAACATTTTTTTGCGAATGGCGGGCACGATAACTCAAAAACTAATAACCCAATCGATTTCAAATTTTTACACGTTTCTCTGTGAGTGTATAGCTATCGTATGAACTAGGATAAAGCCAATCGGTGAAGATCTTCCTTATTTTTTAACTTGAGTTTTGGTAAAAAATCGGCGATTTTCCAAAAATATTTTTTCAAAGGCCCGCCATTTTGTTAATTTTAGAGCGAAGTCAATAATCCTAGTTCATACGAGAGCCAGACATGTACTCTTTCTAACACCGTTGGAATATTCGGATTTCGATGTTCCAGTGAGGAGTTATCATGCCCACCATCGAAAATAAGGACTTTTCTTTAATTACGAAAAACAACAACAAAAGAATAACAAAAATTTTTTGTAAATTATTTTTCTTCTATTTTAAATCTTCAATTATATATGTGTAAAGTTACAAACCTTAACAGGCATTGGTATTGATTTACCAGTCCATTGAAAATCTTGAAAAATTAAAATCGAGAATGGGTGGGGTTGCCTTAAGGGGTCCTTTATCGAAAAGTTTGTTGCAAAGAACGCTTTTTAGTGGAAAATGCGGCAAAATTGTTCAATACATCGAGATCATTCACCCTGTCTGTTCAAGAACAAGGAATGCAAAGTTAGAGCTAATTACACGAGGCAATGTGACTAAAATCTTGAATCTTCGATCTTGAACGTTCGATTCCATAAATTCCAACGGCATTCGAAAAAGTATATGTCCCGCACAAAAATTAACAAAACGGGGAACATTTGCAATGTAATTTTTGAAAATTCCCTATTTTCGACCACAAACCGAGATAGAAAATAAGAACTATCTTGACCGATTGCATGAATCTTAGTTCACATCTATAAAGTGTCTAAAGTATTTGTTGAGATTTTCACTCGAAATATGAAAGGGATATTCTTGAATTAGTGTATGTTCGAATTTAATAGAAAATAGAAAACCAAAATAGAATTTGTATACCCTGCACAACTATGTTTGTAACGCCAATGTTTTTAACACCTTTAGGTATACCGATCAAACTAGCTTAGTCGATGTGACATGTGTTTCCGTCCGTCTGTTCATTATAATTTGTAAACACGATACAGGCCACAGTTATGGATCAATCTTGACAAAATTTTGCATGTAGGATGGGTTCTGGCCAATGAAGACCCCTATTTTTTTGGTAAAGAAATGGCCAAAAATTTATTTTTGTCGTTTTTTCTGGTCGGTCCAGATGACGCAAATATGGCCGGACATCGCGAAATTTTACATGGAGAAGGGCAATGGGCCAAAGAATAAGCCTGCTTGATTTGATAAAGAGCAGTTAATATTTTGTGGGTCCAGACTTTTGTGTGAAAAGTGAAAAAATGTGTATTCTGGGGCGTATATATGTACTCCTGAAGGACATGGAGCCGAGAAGTTGACAGTATATTCAAGAGGGGTGCTTGACCTTTAAGTTGATACCAATTATGTTGTCGTATGTACTCGGATGGGGGAGTTGCACTTAAATATTTACAGCTGCGTATGTATTCACATATAATATTATTTAGTAACCCATTAACACACTAGATGGCGAAAATATAGAGCTGATCGCTTTGAAATTTTCCCTGAAGTTACAGTTATGGCCAAGGACAGCGCCTATAACATTCGGTGATGATTAGATAATAATTTTAGAATGAAATGGACCGAAAACTTATTTTTTTTTCGATTCGATCTATAGGCTACAATTATAAGCCGAACATCATAACACAATCAACGGCGAAGGAAATCTGAACAAGTAATTAAAAGGGCTGTACTGAATATTTGTGATATTCGGAAAATATGTCAGTATAAGGGAGAGGTGCTGTTGACCTCTAATCGGGTAAGAGGGTGCAAATGTCACGACAAATTGCCCAGGATCGGAATAAACAAGTAAGAGAAAGTAAGAGTTCCATGGCAGTTGTGTAGGGTATCGTATGACCCCCCTCCGACTATACTGTTCCGCTCACTGGTTGAAACTGAGAATGTAATTGAGTGTGGTGGTCTCTTATGTGAAAGGTATGTAAAAGTATAGACCCTTCTGGGAGGATTTCTTATTCTCTGCGAAATTTACTTCCGATTTGAGGAATACGTTTTGTAATAGCGGCATTTGCCAAATGCCTTAAATCTGTCCCTTAAATAGGGGCTATGTAAAAGAGGGACATACATTGAAATTGTCCAATCCTTCCTTCTTAAAAAGAGTTCAGACCCCAGAACAGAACATGAGTACAGTGGCCAATATTTATAATTATTTTTGTATGTCTAGTTTGTCTACTTTCAGACTATGGCATGATAATTTCTATGAAAAACGATTAAAAAAAAGGTTTGAAAAACGTGTTCAAACTCCCCATGTTACTGACATTTGGGAGGTACCTTTATGAATGTGGGTTAATATTGATCATTTTCATTACGAAGTTGAGAAAATACAAGTTGAGAAAATACAATTTGACAAAATACAAAACCAGTAAAGTAGTAAAGTCGTACTGCGTCGACTATATGATACCCTTCACCACTTTGGGTATATTCTACAAACGTATCCTAACAGATGTCGCCTTTTCGACAAGACATGAAATTGAACGAGCACAAATATGTGATTTTAATCTATATGTAATTCGACTAACATCAATCCCTACACATGTCATTCTGCAACCTATGCTAAATTTTGTAAATCGACTTAAAGGAAACCCACCCATTCTCGATTTTAATTTTTCAGAATATTCAATGGGCTGGTAAATCAATACCAATGCACTTTGGGCATACATCATTGTACATATGTATCCCCTCCAAGGAACATACGCAAGTCTTTCTGTAGCCTATGATAAATTTAATTTCATTCGGGCAGATTTAATATCGACTTCGTACCATGGGACAAATTTATGAAAAACGACTTATAGCAAATCTAATACACGCTATTTGGTCGCCGCACTGTTAAAATTTTAATTTCATTCAGACATCCATTCGAAAAACATACGGATGCTATGACAGCATCTACATCAATTTCAACAAAACGCAATAACGTTATTCAAGTCTCAACTTGACGTTGTGCAAAAAATCGTGTTAATCGGACAAACATTAGAAGGTTGGTGCACCAGTTATGTAAAATCGGACGAATATATATGTATATGTGGGAGCTATATCGAAACCAGAACCAATTTTTTCCGAAACTTAGCACACATCATTCTAGACTTAATTCAGTACGCTGTGCCAAATTTCATGCAAATCGAAAGGTATATAGAAACTTTGGTGCACCATTTACCTTAAATCGGACGAAACTATATATGGGAGCTATATCTAAATCTGAACCGATTTTCTCGAAACTTGGCCCACATCTTTCTGCGCCTAATTCAGTACTCTATGCCAATTTTCATGCAAATCGAAAGATATAGAGGGACTTTGGTGCCCCATTTACCTTAAATGGGACGAAAATATATATGGGAGCTATATCTAAATCTGAACCGATTTTTCAATAGGGTTCGTCCTTGGGCCAAATAAGTGACTTGTGCCAAATTTCATCCAAATCGGATCATAAATGCGACCTGTACTTTGTTTACAATTTAACATATACAGACGGACGGACATGCATAAATCGACTCAGAAATTGATTGTATGCATATTCTCAAAAGGAACTATGTGTCTATCTCGTTTCCTTTTGCCTGTTACAAACATATGCACAAAGACATAATACCACACCACAGTGTGGTGAAGGGTATAATAAGGAAGATCTTCACCAATTGGCTTTATCCTAATTCATACGATAGCTATACACTCACAGAGAAACGTGTAAAAATTTGGAATCGATTGGATTATTAGTTTTTGAGTTATCGTGCCCGCCATTCGCAAAAGAGAAAAACGCGTTTAAAGTTTGAGAAGCCCTAATTTCCGAGTGATTAAAATCAATTAGTGTAAATATCTAAAAACCCCTCCGCAATGTAGTACAAATATATACTACAATACAATATTGGTCCATACTGCATGTCCTCGAAAAAGATCTCAGATAACCTTCAAGCAGTACCTCAGACTATAGGTTTATAACATTTCATCATATAGAATAATGTTTTATAGGTCTTATAGGGTAGCAAAAAGGCCTATCCTAATTATATGGTATTACTGTTAAATTCCATAAATAACATTTACGTTTTTATTCTTTCAGGTTCATTCGAATATGGATGGAGGGAATTTTCAAGCCTCTCATAACCCTACAAAATATGTATGGTCCCTATCAATGGGCTGGTTGGAGTCGTACACATTCTACAATACTGATTGCACTAAATCGAAAACAATGCGAAATATGGGATTTAAAAAGGAGTACTCTGAAGCCAGTCTCTGTACACAAATTGGGTTCGTCTTACAATACATTGGCACTGTGAGTAGAATTTAGAATATCCCAACACACAATTCCATCAATATTTAATTAAAATAATAAAATTTATCCTTAGATTTTCACGTGATGGTAATTCCATAGCCATTGGCAATGAACGTGGTAAAGTTTTTCTCCTGGCATATGAGGAGATGCCATTTGCACCCCATTACCAATACGATGCACTCGAAAAGGCAATATTTAATGCTGTTAACAATTTTCCCGAATTGTTGATTGAATTGAAAAGTTTGGGTTATTTTGGTTATCCCAATAAGGGTATGGTTATACCACCTTAAATATACACAAACATACATACACACACACACATATGTATCCAATTTATATATGAATGCGGCAATTTTGTGTAAGCCATTAAAACCTTAATTGTAGTCATGCTCTTAAATTGGAAACTTAACATGATGTTGAATTTTTTTTTCTTTATATCCAATATAATTTTTTGGATCAATTTATCAACAACAAAAACAACAACACAAAAAAATAACATTTCACTGAATATGTTAAATTGAATTGAAATAAAAACTTCATTTAATATTGAATAGGACATCTGTTTGAATGTGTGTGTGTTGTTGCTTTTTTCGTTGATTTTATTTTATTTCAATTTTGTTAATGGGATTACTTATAATCTGTTTTTGGATAGTATTTTTGCAGTAAAGTTATATGGCTGTTAAAGAGTTTTTAATCGGTTTTAAATGAAATTCGAAAAAATTAAATAAAGTGAAACAGGCACTATTGATATATGGGAAGAGTGGGGGATTTGGAAAATAAAAAATTAATGCTTGAAAAAATATTCTTAAAAAATGCACGCCTTGTGTTGATGCTTGAAAATTTTTCTTTAAAAAATCCATACCTTGTGTTGGATGGTCCTTGAAAAACTATTTTGTACTTAACTGTCGGCAACCTCAGTATATACTGAGGTTGCCGACAGTTCCTTATTTAATGCAAAGCAGATTTATATATACACTATGGTACAGCGTATTATGTATTTGTGCATATGTTTGTAACAGGCAAAAGTAATCGAGAAAGACCCATGGTTCGTTTTGAGAATATGCATAGAATCACTTTCTAAGTCGATTTACGATGTCCGTCCGTCCGTCTGTCCATGTTAAATTGTAAACAAGGTACAGGTCGCATTTATTATTCGAATTGGATGAAATTTGGCACAGCTCATTCATTTGGCCCAAGGACGAACCCAATTGAAATTTGGAAAAATCGGTTCAGATTTAGATATAGCTCCCATATATATTTTCGTCCGATTTAAGGTAATTGGTGCACCAAAGTCCCTAAATAACTTTCGATTTGCACGAAATTTTTGCACAGCGTACTGAATTAGGCCTAGAATGATGTGTGCCAAGTTTTTTGGAAATCGGTTCAGATTTAGATATAGCTTCCATATATATTTTCGTCCGATTTAAGGTAAATGGTGCACCAAAGTCCCTAAATAACTTTCGATTTGCACGAAATTTTGCACAGCGTACTGAATTAGGCCTAGAATGATCTGTGTGAAGTTGTTTGGAAATCGGTTTAGATTTCGATATAGCTCCCATATATATTTTCGTCCGATTTAAGGTAAGTGGTGTACTTAAGTCCCTAAATATATTTCGATTTGCACGACATTTGGCACAGCGTACTGAATTAAGTCTAGAATGATGTGTGTGTGCAAAGTTTCGTGAAAATCGTTTCAGATTTAAATGTAGCTCCCACATATATTTTTACACGATTTAAGGTAATTGGTGCACCAAAGTCCTTCTATATCTTTCGATTTGCACGAAATTTGGCATAGCGTACTGAATTAAGTCTAGAATGATGTGTGCAAAGTTTCGTGAAAATCGGTTCAGATTTAGATATAGCTCCCATACATAGTTTCGCCCGATTTTAGGTAAATGGTGCACCAAAGTCCCTGGAATTCTTTTCATTTGCACGAATTTTGGCATAGCGTACTGAATTAAGTCTAGAATGATGTGTGCAAAGTTTCGTGAACAATCGTGAACATTCAGATTTAGATATAGCTCCCATATACATTTTCATCCGATTTAAGGTAATTGGTGCATCAAAGACCCTATATATCTTTCGATTTGCACGAAATTTGGCATAACGTACTGAATTGCATCTATAATAATTTGTGCTAAGTTTCATGAAAATCGGTTTTGATTTAGATAAAGCTCCCATATATATTTTCGTCAGATTTTAGGTAAACGGTGCACCAAAGTCTTCTCATTTCCAGGAATTTTGGCATAGCGTACTGAATTAAGTATATAAAGATGTATGCAAAGTTAGATATAGCTCCCATATATATATATACGATTTGTCATAGCGTACTGAATCAAGTCTAGAATGACGTGTTCTAAGTTTCGTAAAAATCGGTTCAGATTTAGATATAGCTCCCATATGTATTTTCGTCCGATTTTATGTAAGTCCCAAAGTCCCTATATATCTTTCGATCGCACGAATTTTGGTCTAGGGTACTGAATTAAGTCTAGAATGATGTTGCTAAGCTTCGTGAAAAGATCTATAGGTTGGCGGATTGACACAACGTACTGAAGTAATACAAATTAGTCTCTTGCAAGTTTCGCTGAAATCGGGTCAAATATAGATATATTACAAATACGCGACGTCTGTTAGGATACATATGTAGAATATACCTAAAGTGGTGAAGGGTATCATATAGTCGGCCCAGTCCGACTTTACTACTTTCCTTACTGGTTTTATTTGATGTTTCATTTTCCGCTATCAGAAATCAATTATACTAAATACCCTTAAATCTAAATTTCCGCTCAAATGTCGTCGGAATTCCCATTTCATGTCCTTAAAACTTCCCACAACTACACTGCATATTTTCGCATTCTATATAAATTCAGCTATCCTTTTGGGACTCACCATTTGCCAGTGTATATGTATGTAGAAATATTCCGCACATTTTGTTATTAATATGCATACCATGCATGAGTAACTTTCGATTAATATATTCATATGGCATTTCGGTCGTTCTCTACACAATCTCATTAAAAATCGACATATGTTCTGTCTTTTTTTTTTGCATTTTTCTGCCCAAGAATTTTTATACATTCATATTCCAGAAGAGTTGAATTCATTTATATCCTAACCCCGGAATGCACTAATTCTGCTAACCATTCATTTATGAATATTCATAAAAATTGGTCTGTATGTTGGAGAAAAAAAAACACACACACACACAAAACTATTACATATGTATGGTTGTTAAACTTGATTTGATAAGTGAACAAGTTAATATGCATTTCGAAAAAGAGTTTGTTTTTCTTTTTTTTTCAACAAGTTGTGAAAATTGGCAAAAGTTTATATATGTGAGTAAGTAAGGGACCAAAAGATGGGGTCCGACTGTGCGTTATGAAAAATTTAATCACAATCAAGCATATGTTGTTTATGTGGTACACCGTATACATGAAATCTGACAAGCCTATATATAAGCCGTGCTATACATAAATCTCTACGATATGCTAAAATCAGATATGTATCTAAATATGAACCGATTTTCACAAAATATAGTAAGGTTCGTTCTTGAGCCAATATATGAGACGTGTTAAATTTCATTTCATACAGATAATAAGTGCGGCTTGTTCGGCCTGTTTAAGAAAATACATGGACAGACGGATGGACATGGGCTTAGATACATATATATATCCTTATTTTTGGAATGCAATTTCGAACATTTGTAACATGTCTCTGGATTCGATGTCTGTAAGGGATTTGGACACATCGGATGCTAATTTTGTTTCATTTTATCTAAGAGTTAAGTGATTGACTGTCTGATTGATTCACTAAACGATTCATCAACATCCTGACGTCTGAAGCTAGAATCTTGAAATTTGGGTTCAGTGTCACTCTTAACAGAAGGAGTCAGATAAACAGGGTTTTTTGGAAATTCGTACTAGAGCGGCACAAAAAGTTCTAAATATAGTACCTTTAGTATTTTACGAACCGGTAGAGCTAGAACTCTTAAATTTAACACTAGAACGCCGAAGGCAGTCATTTTGACCGCTTTCCAATTTCAAGTCCAAAAGCAACTGTGCATTTAATGACACTTTTTTTTAAAATTTGGTGACTTTTTGTACCTCATAGAAATACGTTTATTATAAAAAAATCATCAAATTTTAAAAAAAAGTGTCATTGAATACACAGTTGCTTTTGTACTTGAAATTGGAAAGCGGTCAAAATGACTGCCTTCGGCGTTCTAGTGTTAACAAAGGGATATTTTTTTGGAAATTCGAATTATAAGTATACGAAACGTACTAAATTTGGTTCAATTTCGTAGCATGTGAACGGAGGGATCTAAAAACTTGAAATTTGGAATGCGAACCAAGGTTGAAAAGTAGGATCGATATAAGGATATGGCTTTGGAAGTGTGTACTCATGTATAGGAAAAGTACAAAACAGTACTAAATTTGATACAATTTGAGTTTGGAGCAGGAATCTTGAAATTATCCGTCGGAATGTAGGATTGGGAACATAGGTAGTTTTGGAAATTTGCACTTATTTTTTACTAAAAGTACTAAATGGTACTATATTTGTTACTATTTGGATTTAGGTGATCCGATGGAGTTGGAACACTGAAATTTAAAATAATGACTACTGTTAGGGTGTGGGATTGGCGTATGAAAGAAGTTTTGGAAATGCGTACAAATGTGCACTAAATTTTTACCGTTTGGATTTGGTCTGAAATCTTACAGTTGGAAAATGAATTGTGTGATGTCTGTAGTTATGGAAATTTGTACTACAAGTTGATACAATTCGCATTTGGGTTAGCCGATAGATCTCAAATCCTGAAGTTTGAAATTAGTAAACTTGATACAATTTACAGTTTGGCTGAATCAATGGAGTTGGAATCCTGAAATTTGGAGTTAGGGCCACTGCTGGGGTGTAGGAGTGGGATATGTAGAAGGTTTTGGAAAGTACTAATGTGTACAAATTGGTACCAAATGTGGATTTGGATTAACCAATAGAGCTGGAACACTGAAATTTGGAAAACAAAGGTTACTGTTAGAGTGTAACATTGGGCTGTAGTTTTGGGAAATTCGTCATTATGTGTGATATATAAATTTGATACAATTTGGATTTGGGCTTGGAATCTTGAAATTGGGAAATATGTTGTGGTAGGTAATCGGATGGACGTTTATACTAATGCCTACATTATGTTACAAAATTTGATATTATTTGGAATTATGTAAACCGATAGAGCAGGAATTCTTAAATTTGGAATTTAATTGACTGTTGGAGCTAGGATTGGGGTATATAGGAACTT